GTACTGACTGTTTAATAAGAAACTATTTGTTCTGTAAACCTTCATCTAAAGTACAATTATATATATATACATATATATATACACACACATACATATAAATTAAAAAAAAAAAAATTATAGCCTTGTAATGGGGCAGTTCTACTCTGTCCTATAGGGTCGCCACGGGTTGGAATCAACTTGGTGGCAACAGGTTTGGTTTTTTGGGTTTAGTCCATTTCTTAGATGTAGCGTGGCACGGTGCCAGGAGCCCACTCACGTGCCACTGTTGAACTTCTTGAAGATATTGGCCCAGGTGGCCCCATCCGAGGCCAAGCGGTTGGCCACGATGTTGCGCACCCACTCCAGCACACTGCCCTCAGGTTGCACGTACTTCCACAGGGCCGGGTTGTTGTTGCCAATGGTGGTCTCCAGCGTCACCTATGGGGGAACAGAGGGGGGCACTGCACTGAAGGGCATGTTGCCACCAAGTGGTGATGCCACCGGAGTCATGGCTCATACGCTGGGTGTTTAACAGTTTTTCTAAAATTCATGTCCCAACAGCCAAGACTATTTTATTGAACCTGACCTTCTATAGTACATGTTAGGAATATGGGGGAGGGTTCTGAACATAAAATTATTCTATACTATGAATATATATGGAGCCCTGGTGACGCAGTGGTTAAGAGCTACGGCAAGCTATGGCTGCTAACTAAAAAAACGGTCGGCAATTTGAATCCACCCGTCGCTCCTTGGAAACCCTATAGGACAGTTCTACTCTGTCCTATAGGGTGGCTATGAGTCAGAACTGACTTGACAGCACATAACAACAACAATGAATATACATGTCTCCAGAAACACTAATACACTCTTCTAGAGATGCAGACTGACACCCCTACACCTGGCTGAGAATTACTGGTCTATTTTAAAGGATATGCTGTAGGCACGATTAGTTAAAATAACAATGCCAACCACCCTTAAACCGGTCAAGGACCCAGATATAGCGTGTCCTGCCTTGGCCCTTTCCAGGTAGGTGGATTAAACACCGCCTGGTCCTGCGCCATCTCCACGATCGGTTGCAGGATTGGACCATCATGATCCATAGGGTTTCACTGGCTGACTTTCGGAAGCAGATCACCAGGCTTCCTTCCTAGCCTGAGTCTGGAAGCTCCATGGAAACCTGTTCAGCATCACCGCAACACGCAAGCCTCTACTGGCAGGCGGGTGGTGGCTGCACATAAGATGCACTGGCCGGGAATCGAACCTTGGTCACCCGTGTGGAAGGCGAGAATTCTACCACCGAACCCCTACTGCCCCCTCTTTCCACATTAAGAGGGGAATACATTTCATGCTGTCCTCAAAAACTAACAGAGACTTAGGAATAAATCTGACCAGGGATGTGAAAGACCTATACAAAGAAAACTATAAAACACTACTGCATGAAACCCAAAGGGATCTACATAAATGGAAAAACATACCATGCTCATGGATAGGCAGACTCAACATTGTGAAAATGTCAATTCTACCCAAAGCAATTTACAAACACAATGCAATCCCTAT